AGTCCACCACCTCCCAAGGAAGCCTGTTCCACTGAGGAACTGCTCTAACTGTCAGGACGTTCTTCCTGATGTTTAGCTGAAAACTCTTCTGATTTAATTTCAACCCATTGGTTCTAGTCCGACCTTCTGGGGCAACAGAAAACAACTCTGTGCCATCCTCTAGATGACAGCCCTTCAAGTATTTGAAGATGGCTATTGTATCACCTCTCAATTGTCTCCTCTCCAGGCTAAACATACCAAACACCTTCAACCTTTCCTCATACGACTTGGTCTCCATACCCCTCACCATCTCCATTGCCCTCCTCTGGACACGTTCAAGCTTGTCTATATCCTTGTTAAATTGTGGTGCCCAAAGCTGAACTCAGTACTCTAGGTCTTACCCAGCAATCTTCCATGGCAGAGCAGGGATTCAGACCTGGGCCTCCGAGATCCTGGTTTGACATTCTACCCACTACACCAACTGGCTCCTTCTCTGCTTCCCATCCACCATCCAACCTCTTCAGCTTTCATTCCTTCCCTTCCTTGGAAGTCTTTCCCCAGGAAAGGTCTGTCTGAGCAGTGCAATGGCGGCTTCTGGGATGGTGCCAGCTGTGTTGTGGCAAGGTTTCTTCCATCAGGGGACATGGCACTAGAAGGGCATGGAACCTCTCTCCCCTCCCCCATGGCTTTGTTTTACAGAATCATAGAATCATAGAGTTGGAAGGGGCCATACAGCCCATCTAATCCAACCCCCTGCCCAGTGCGGGACCAGCCTACAGCATCTCTGACAAATATTCATCCAGCCTCTTCTTGAAAGCTGTCAGTGAAGGGGAGCTAACTACCTCTCTAGGCAGCTGATTCCACCTTTGAACCACTCTGACCATGAAAAAGGTTTTCCTAATATCCAGCCGATACCTTTCTGCATGTAATTTAAACCCGTTGCTTCGGTCCTATCCTCTGCTGCACTGGAACAGCTCCTTGTCCTCCTCCAAATGACAGTCTTTCAAATATTTAAAGAGAGCAATCATGTCCACCCTCAATCTCCTCTTCTCCAAACTAAACATTTCCAAGGCCCTTAGCCTTTCCTCGTAGGGCTCGATCTCCTGATCATCCTCGTCGCTCTCTTCTACACACTCTCGATTTTGTCCACATCCTTTTTGAAGTGAGGCCTCCAGAACTGCACACAGTACTCAAGGTGCGGCCTGACCAAGGCTATGACCTCCTGCAATTTCGATGCTATGGCCTGACAAAGGGGCTATGATCTCCTGAAATTTCGATGCTATGGCCCTTTTAATACAACCCAATACTGAATTTGCCTTTTTACCACCGCATCACACTGATGGCTCATATTTTGTTTACAGTCCACTCTTACCCCAAGATCTCTTTTGCATACACTACTCCTCGGAAACATATCCCCCATCCAGTATTTGTGCTTGACATTTTTGTGGCCCAGATGTAATACTGTGCATTTATCTTTGTTGAATTGCATCCTGTTTGCAATTGCCCACTTCTGTAGAGTATTCAGGTCTTGTTGAATTTTAACTCTATCTTCTTGGGTGTTTTCTGCTCCTCCCAATTTGGTGCCATCAGCCCCTCTACCCCTTCATCCTGTTCATTGATAAAAATATTGAAAAGTACCGGTCCCAAAACTGAGCCCTGCGGCACCCTGCTGGATAACTCCCTCCAATCTGATGAAACACCATTGACCATCACTCTTTGGGTGCGGTCCTCTAATTTATTTATTTATTAGATTTATACCCTGCCCTCCCCAACATGCTCAGGGCGGCTAACAACAGAGGCAAATGCCATAACAAACAGTTAAAACAACGTAAAACAATCATTAAACGGTATAAAACAATCATTTATTTATTTATCTAACCAGTTCCCTATCCACCGAACTGTCCTATAGTCCAGCCCACAGTCTTCCAGTTTGCCCATCAGAATATCATGGGGAATCTTATCAAAAGCTTTACTGAAATCCAGGTAAATCACATCAACAGAGTTCCCACGATCCAGTAAGCTCGTTACATGATCAAAGAAGGAAACCAGGTTGGTCTAACAAGATCTGTTGAGAGAACGGCTGTGGCCTAAACTGGCAAATACCAACATTGACAAATGCTTGCTGTACCTAGTAAGGGAACTCCACAATAACACATCATTGAAGGTAAGAGTGGGTATCTCAGGCTCATTGACGTACAGTATCCCTGTAACCAGAGGTGTAAAACAGGGCTGTGTTCTTGCCCCTCTTCTTTTCAACCTCTATATTAATGACATCATCAAGAGGCTCTCCGACCCAGAAGTTTTTCCACCGGGAGTTGGCTCATGGAAAATTTCAATTTTTCTCTTTGCCGATGACATGGTGCTATTGTCTATAACTCAGACTGGCCTTAGAAGAGCATTGTCGAGACTAGGTGACATCTGTAGAGAAGAGCACTTAAATATAAACTACTCAAAGACCAAGGTGATGGTCTTTGGAAACAGGAGGCGATCCTTTCGCTAGACAATTGATGGCATCCCAGTAAAGCAAACCCAGACCTTTAAATACCTGGGGATCACCTTCAGCGACACACTCTCTTGGAAGGCTCATATAGAAACAACAACAATAACAGCTCTCCGCTCATTAAGGGCAATTTAAAAATGTTATCGTACAAAAGGGGGCTTTCTGATAGACTCAGTTCTTAAACTCCTCCAGAGCAAGACAATCGCCCAACTCCTTTATGGTGTCAAGGTGTGAGGCTGGAACGACTCCACTATTGCCAGCCTGGAGAGAATTCAAAACCTTTTTATGAAAAGGCTGCTAATAGTTCCAACAAGCACCCTGGCAACATTGTTAAGAGTGGAACTGGGCCTTCCCTCTCTACGGGCCTGTGCCCATAAAGCTTTTTATAACTATTGGCACAAATTGAAGAGAGCACCTACTGATCACCTTTCAAGCAGTTGCTTCCTTGCTTGCCAAAAAGACCCTAAATGGCTATCCAAATACAATAGCATATTGCCAATCTATAACCTTCCAGATGTAATCCTTGGGCCTCTTCGGACTGACTTTAATGGCAGGGAGCAAATATATATCCAGGACACTGCCCAAGACTGGCGAGTCATTCAAGAGAATAAATCCTCACCTTGGTACAAACTAATCAAATCAGACCATCAAAGGGCCCAATATTTAACCAAGATCTCATATAGCAAATTACGTTCTGCACTAACTTCAATCCGCTTTCAATCAATGCAATCAGCAATGCTTGAAGGCGGCTATACCAACATGCCTGCTGCCCAGCGTTTCTGCCCATGTGGAGGTTCAGCGCCAGAGGTCCAATCTATCAATCCCCTAGGAAGAAATTTCTAGGCCCAATTTTGGCCACCCTAGGCACTAGAACAGAAACAGAAAAAAAATCTAGTTTTACTAGCAGACATAGAGGCCGAGATTTCACACTAGGTGGCCCTCTTTGCCCTCGCTGCAGAGAAAATTCGGGGGGAAATAGCAGCACCATAGCTCAATTACTAACGGAGACCAGGATGGAAGAGTTGGAATTATTAAGATGTTTTATTGTGTATTAAATTAGCTTTTTATTTTTCTGGTTTTAGTAGTTTACATCTTGTTCTGTCATTGTAATGGCCTATGGCTAAAGGCAATAAAAACTGAACCTGAACCTGACAAGATTTGTCGGAGACAAAACCAGGGTTTGGAATAGGGATGGGCATGGACCAGCTCATGGACCAAATTTTGTCATGGACCAGGGCCCAGTTCGTGGTCTGTGAGCCCAGTCCATGCAATTGCACCATTCACGGACCACCATGTTCCCCAGCAGTCCATGGGAACAGTCCATGAGCCAGAGATGCTGGTGCCAAGGATTGCCAAGGTAACAGAGCATTGCCTTCTCTTCCCTCACTGAGGCACAAATTACCTTCCCTTCACTTGTGGAAGCATGCTGCCGCTGTGGCACAACTTCAGAGAGTAAGGGAGGCGTGTTTAAATGCCTCCCCTTCCCTTCCCCAGTCACATGCAGCGGCAGCATGCTTCTAGGAGAGAAGGGAAGGCAGTTTGCCTTCCCTCATGGAAGTGTGCCGCTGCTGTGGTGCTGTTGTGGCACAACTTTGGAGAGTGAAGGGGGATTATGTTTCAATGCCTCCTCTTCCCTTCCCCAGTTGTGCCGCAGCAGTGGCATGCTTCCAGAGTGAACTTAACTCCATGAAGTGGCAGCGCAATGTTGGAGAGTGAAGGGGGGTTGTGTTTAAATGCCTCCCCTTCCCCAGTCGTGCTACAGCAGCAGCACGGTTCCAGGAATGAAGTGCCTCAGCGAGTGAAGGAAGGGTATTTTGAGTGCCTTTCCCTTCATGAACCCAACAAACCACAGCACAGTCTGTTAAATGCGAAAGTCTGTGGAGGTTTGTGTTTCATAAACTCCATGAACAATGAACCTCCACAGACCTTCATTTTTTCGGTTCGTGCCCACCCTTAGTTTGGAAGGCTTACCAATATTGTGTGATTTCAGAATGGCCACTGAGATCTCAGAGTGCATTCTTTTCTTAAATCTAGTGGCATTGTTTCTGTTATTTGGTGGGCTTTTAGTCTTCCTGGGGGTATATAAAGAGACCAGATTTTCTTGCAAACCTAGGACTTCAGGTTTGTAAAGAAATTCTCCCTAGCTGTCCTTAGTTCCTTGTTGCAGATCTATTTATCATAGCCTCTATGGCAAAGTCCTGAATTAGATGATTTTGCATACTCACACAAACACAAAGCAAGGTTTTGAATCCATTTCAGGTAGGGTTGCCAAATAGTTTTCACTCACCGGCGGGAGAGGCTCCGTCCCATCCGGGAGCAGTCCGTGCGCGCGCGCACCGCCGCGACGTCACCGGAAGTGACGTCAGACGCTACCGACGTTGGGGGCGTGGCCGAGCTCGTGTGGGGGGGAAACATATGGGGCTCCGAAGCGGGGGGTTACCCGCCCCCCGGGCACATTTGGCAAGCCTAATTTCAGGTGTATGTTTCTGAAACCTAGTGATCTTTTTTTTTCTTTTTAAAGGGTTCGCTTACACTTGAAGAAAAGCAAAAATTAGCAAAAGAACAAGAACAAGCACAAAAACTCAAAAGCCAACAACCACTTAAACCTCAGCCTCACACAGTTGCTGCTCCAGTCAAACAGGTACGAATGCAGTATCATAATACAACTTTTCATGGCAGTGTTTGGACAGATTCCAGCTAATCACTAAGAAAATATTCTACCTTATGTAATTCATTGTATTTGTAAATTTCTTCACTTTTAAGCTTGCCTGCCATCCAAAGTAGATGTTTTATTAAAGTTCTTGGAATGCAGTAGATGGAATAAAGAACTTTTTAGCAGTTTGATTCCTAAGCGAAGACATAATTTAACCTACATTAAGGAATGAATTGACTACTTCTTCATGGAGGTGTGAAAAGGCACCCCTGCTGTAGAACAGCAGCAAGCAGAGTAGAAGCGAGCAGCAACTGTGTCTTGTGTGCTCCATGCCTGCACTTCTCTGCTGACGTCACCCCATCGTTCCTTTTTTTTTGTCAAGTTAGTGCTAAAGCACTGAACTGATGACCGTCTCCCACCTCCACTGCCCCACAGTCCAGCAATCCCCCTCTCCATGTTCATAGCTGAATCATAATGTTAAACCCAAAAGCACTGTGAAAAAGCCCATTTAAAGGGCTAAAAAGTGTTGGGAGGGAAAGTGGAGCTTTGCCATTTAAGGCAAATCTCATATCCCCTCCCCCATTGGCTGTGGACAGAGTTTCCACTCTGCATTTTCCAGTTTGAACTGGGTAAAATGAAGTTTTCCTTTTGATTTAAGCACAAAAGCCCTGGGGAGTCCCACAAATGACTCTCAAAATGAAAATGACATGTGGAAACTCCCAAGAAACACAGGGGCCTATTTTTCTCCATGTGGGGAAAAATCCCTGTGTGGAAGCTGCCCATAGTCCCAATCTTTTGTGTGTGTATGTGTGTTAAGTGTCATCAAGTCACTTCCAACGTATGGTGACCCTATCAGTGTCCACCAAAATGGCCTATTGTTAACAGCCTCGCTCAGGTCTTGAAAACTGAGCAGTGTGGCTTCCTTGACTGAGTCAATCTATCTCATGTTGGGCCTTTTTCTTTTCTTGCTGCATTCAATTTTTCCTAGCATTATTTTCTTCTCATAATGTGATCAAAATACAATAGCCTCATTTTAGCTTTGCTTGCCTGTAGATGCTTAATATTTTTCACTTGCTGAATGTTGAAATAGCACTTTTTGCACTTTACTGTGACTGGTTGCCAGATATTTGTTTGAATGTCTTTACAAATTTATATTGGAACTTTCAGGACCAGTATTGCATAAGTATTAATAATCAATACAAACAAAAATTGTTGTATACTATCCACAGTAAAAGCATATATAAACGACAGTATGCATCCTAACCAAGCTAGGCAACTACAGAAATATATTCACATACTTTATTCTTGTAAATTCATAGAGTTGCTATTAGTTCTTTAACTGCCAGCTACTAGAAATTCAAGTTGTTGCAAAGTATTTTAATTACACTGGTTTTGTGCTTTTTTTCAGACCAAGGATTTGACCGGTACTTTGATAGATAACATGGCATCATTGGCCAGCCAGTCTCACAATAGACCTAAAGTTCCTTCTTCAAGTAGTTTTTCTTCAGTTCCATCTATGGGTATTGGAGCAGGGTTTTCATCACCTGTTGAGAGCACTAAGAGAAATGGACTAAATGCTAATGTGGGATTTCAGCCTTCAGGATTCAGCATGGGGGTTGGCACTACAAGCCAGAATTTCTTCAGCAGTGCTGTAATCACCAATATGAATATGTTGCCTACAGGCAACATGCCAACTTACAGCACTATGAGCACTACAGCTGCAGTTTCACAGCCAGCACAGCAAAACAGGGCACCAGATATGTCTGCTTTAGATAGCTTGTTTGGTCCTCAGAAACCCAAAATCAGTATGAATCAGTTATCACAACAAAAAACAAACCAGTGGCTTAATCAATTTGTACCTCCTCAGGGTGCCAGCAGTTCTCTTCCAGGGACGCAAATGAATGTAACGGGACAGCCTGGATTTGGTTTACAGGGAAATCCTTTCTTTAATCCTCAGAACTTTACGCAGCCAACAAACAACATGACAAGCAGCAGCTCAGCAAGTAATGACTTAAAAGACCTCTTTGGATAATAGTTGTTATCATGGGCAAGTTGATGGTGTAGAGGCATCTCTTTATGTCTGGTAAAAGCTGGGTTGAGAACTTCCGTCTAGCAAAATGGACAAGAGAAAAGCTGTTTCCAGAAAGAGCTAGTAATACACTTTATTTTCTTAGGCACCAAGAAGTTCCTATCCCCTTCTACAGTTTTGAGGTCAGTTTTATCAATCCAGGTACCCAGAGTTGTAAACATTAGAAACTGCGCATCTTGCCACTTCAGGAATTTTTTCTTCTAGCCACTGTGTAATCCTACAAATAAACATCTTACAAATACAAGAAAAAAATTGTATTTACTTTTGGTCCACCAAATGCACTACATGTATGCCCTGGTCTCTTGTTGATCTTGTAATGTTTGAATTAGGTATGGATTTAAAATGAGTTATAAATACATTTTGGTAATGGGTTGTAATTGGATGCATGTATTACTATGCAGCTTCTTTAAATGTACACAGCTAAATTTTTGAGAAGTACAGAGTTATTTACCCCCTTGTAAATCAATACCATGAGTAGTGCTCTCCTTAATAAAGTACATCAAAAGAGAGAGAGATCCTTCTAACAGAGGTGCTCTTTGTTACAAAACAAATATTGCCGGATGATCATTCAGCATAACTTTCCTACTGGTAACCTATGCTGAAGTATCAGCTCCTACAGTGGAAGCCATGTGGTTGGCATGGTGACCTTAAAATCTTGCCTAAATATGCATGGTAGCTTAATCATGCTTATATTTATATTTGAAATCTGGATATTGAAATAATACCAGTGCAAATTAATTAACAAAAATCTGTTTCAAATCGTCCTACAAATTCCATTTTGTTAGAATTTAGAAATTACTTTCATTATGTTTAAAATGTTGGCATAACTGTATGGAAAGAATTTGGATAGTTTCTTTATTCTCCTGGCTACTTCTGAGACAAAAGTCGAAGCTTGACAAACCTTAAGTGAAGCATATTTGTTATAGATTCAGATTAAAGTGAGCTCTGTTTCTTTAGATTAAATGGATACATTACAAAGAAAGTGATGAAGCCAGTCTTCTGTGAAAAGGTTATTGCATTTAGACCAAACTGTCGTTCTTTATGTAGTTTCAGAATCATCTGGAAGACTGATACAAACTTTTGTAATACCAAGTTTGGAGTAAATAGCTCTTGTTGTATATTTTGACATACCGGTCCAGATCCAAAAGTTTCCCCAATCTAGATGCAGCAGTAAATCCTGCTGATTAGGTAGGAAAGGGTATTTCACTTCCCCAAGACCAGAATCTCTGTCCCATTGCTTATTTCTACTGGGCTTTAACTATTTCTTTCCTAGGAATTTTGGGACCTTTGTTACATATAGCTGGCTATTTTGAGAAGGAAAGAATTAGTTATCTTTTTTATAGAAAGCCTATACACTTTATTTTTCAAAGCCTTTCACTGAATAAATTATTTCCATTTCCTGCTTAAGAAACCAAAGGCCTTATGCTGTAAATGTGAGTTGTATTTTGTTAAATTATATTTCCAATTTTAAGCAGTAATAATGTTTAAATGTATCTAAAGAACTTTGTATTATAGCTGCTGCCTTAGTACTCTTACTTTGTATCTCTGGGACCAGTGATAAAATTGTGTTTTGTTTTTAAATACTTGTGGTTTTCATGTGCTGTTGATACTCTCACTGAACTATGCTTAGTTAGCTACATAATTTGTGCATAAAATATGACCATTAAATGTTAGGTGTATATATAGTTCTTTGGTCTCCAGGTTTCTTAAATTTCACATATATGTCATTGATAAAAAATGCTCAATGTTATGACAGCATGGTTTCCCAAATTTTTAAAAAGAGAAGAGGACAAATCAAATGAAGACTGCTAAAACAGAATTCTTCCAGAACACAAGTTTATGTAACAAATTATAGATGTATTATAAAATCGTATCCCCATATGTAGGGATTTCCTTGATAACCTAGACTTGTAAGTTTCTTACACATTGTCATTAATGATTTGTAGCCATTCAAATTTATAATTTAATTGCTCATGTCAGAGAAAGACTTTTTTGTTTAGATTTTTCCTTGTGTATGCTAATCTGTATTTTAATGTTACATTACATCAGAGGAAATGTTACTTAGTTCTTTGATCTCAACAAAGGCACTGGCATTCTCTCTGTCAGTTTCTCTGAAGGTTTGATTTAAGGTTGTATGCAAGATATCCTGTAATGGTTTAACTTGGAAGAATGGAAGTAGAAAAGAAAGAAGATGGAGATTAAATGATACACTTCTACTACAAGATGATGAAATAAAACAAAAATATAAGAAAGATTTGATAGAATACTTCAAGATACCCTATAATGGGGGGGGGGGACCTTCATCCCTGGTCAGAGTTAGTGAAGTACAATAAGGATATTTCTCTGTTAGTCTTTGATGTTACATAACAGCACAGTGACTAGTTTCCAGAAGCGTAGCTTTCTTCTGTGAAGAAATGAATGTGTTCTATATAAAAGTGTGAATAGTTCCTTTTTAGGAAGTATTTAGGGAATGTTGAGTACATTTCCTTCCAAGAAGTAAATGAGTGAATTTGAATTTTAAGTTATACAACTGGGGACGGAGGATGGAAGACTTCACAGATATAGTGATCCCCCAGCCTTTATCCACAGCTCATATATTTAGGATGGCTCGGGCATATTGAAACTTGTAGACATAGTTAAATTCCCTGACCCTTGAATGCCTGTATGTAGTGGTATAAATGATTTTTCTTTATAGTGAGTCATACAAAAGAGCTGCTATGGGCACAGTAAGGTACTTAGATAATGTTAATGACACACGTTCTTCCTGTGGAACTCATATCTCTTCATTATGAATGGAAATTGCACTCTATGTTGATGCTTTCAAGACATTTGACAGGCTTCATGGGCACAAAGTGGATGACTGAAAGGTACAGTAAAGAAGATGAAAGATGCAGTGTAAACTACAACAACTATGTTTCTGACATAGTATACCCTTGAGGAATTGGCCCAGCTTGGCCTGTCTTTCTCACAGTATGGTTTTATTAATGAGGAAATTCTGGAACTCTTCTTAAGTTTTATTGTCTCAGGTTTCTTGGAATACAAATATTCTCAAGCAATTTGAAATGTAAATACAGACACTAAATAACCTTTTCCTATCCTTTCATATTTAATGGATCAAATCCTGTTTTGTTTTGCAATGGAGACCTTGTTATAGGAAACAAACCTTAGCATCATCCAGGTGGAGCAGACAGGAATCCTAGAATATGAAGTGACTTTTCTTTAAAAGGTGGATGGTGGGGTTAGTTGCTGGATCTGATTCTTTCCCTCAAAAGGAGAAGGAGCTGCAAGATCTATCTTGGACATCGAGTAATCTTCTCCTGTCTCATATGTTACCCCTGTCAAATATAAAATATCTCTACACATGTATTGACAGCATTAAGAATGAAAGCTATAATTTGGGTCTGAGCTGCAGGTATAGATCAGTGTTGTGCTTATTGACATCTTAATTTTTAAAGAAGCAGGAATTGAAATTCACAAAGTAATATTTCAGTACAATTATTGCCATCTATTGCTGTTTTTCAATTATATCAAGTAAATAAGTAAACCTGGGAATTAATGTTACTGTTAGTAAACTAGTGAAATTTTAATACATTTCATTGTTTCAGTGAGAGTGTCAATTTGTGGCTGTTGGCTTAAAGTTTTCCACAGGTATGTTTCACATAGAAAATTATTTGTACCTGCTATAGCATCAGCCTCATCTAACCAGCATGAGATGGTTGTATCATTCTAAAGTAAACAAGTGCTACCCAGCTCCTGGTCATGTGATATTTCACACAGCTGGCTTCTTGTAGATATTTTCTAAATTGAAATGGGTTTATGTGGTTCAAAGTTTTAAAAATTCAATCTTCAAAACAAATATATTGGTGGTTGTTACCAGTGTTTTACTGTTGGTCAGTGTAACACATGTAGACATTCTACAATCAATTGGGGGATTTAATTGCCTAGAAAATTCAGCCATAATGACATGCCTTTGAATAATTTAATGACATGTCCTTGACATTTCTTGACTTTGCATTTAAATCTTTAAAATAAGATGATCCCTTATAAAGAAATTTGTAAAAACAGTTCTCCTTAAAGTCCTAAAATTCAAACAGCACTGAGTGTTGTATAATCTCCTAAATTGGATGTTTGTATATCAAAATGGTTTTATATGTATTTAACTCAGGCCTGACTGGAAATATTTAATGTCTGTCTAAATGTACTGTCTCTTCTTAGTGGCTTAGAATTCTTGTGTGTAAAGTGGTGATGTCAATGGTGTTGCTGTGGTTCATGATCAGTAGAACTCTAGCATGGCATTCTATTTTGGATGATTGGACTTCACTGCTCTTCAAAACAAATCTATTCTTATATCAACTTTTCAGATCAGTAATATGTAAAATGTACAGTGATGGTTACAAGAAATTACTACCACTTTGTACTGTGAATGGAAGAATTGTGTAGTTTTGAAATCCTAAATGATGTTGCTTTATTGAAATAAAAAACCTTTTCATATTTTCAGCTTTACAGATAAGAGTGAAATGTCATAAGTTCAAAAAAACAAACAAACCCAGTGCTTGCAATTGACTGTGGAGATGTGCAAGTTTTATAGTGTGGTTCCACATGACTTTACCAGTAAAATAGTGACTAGAAGAGAAATGGCTGTTGCTTATTCAAATGGGCTCTCAGTGACACTTTGCTGATAATGTATAATTTCATCTGACTGGTTAGCTAATTCTTAATTTTATTCTTAACTATTATTTTTAAAGTATTGGTAAACAGGCTTATGATAGCTGTCTTTGGCATGTGGATACTTCTCTAACAGTCTCAATTATCTTTTCTGCAGTTCTTCCAGGACAAATTAGGATTCCCTGTTCAAGTTGACAGATCCGGTGTACTGGCTTTAAGGCTATGCAGTGAACAGTATTAAGTCTGGTACATTTTATATTAATTTTTATATATGAGAGATGGCTAGATCTTTTTTCTCTAATGGAACGGGCAACTCTAGTTCTTGGTTTGAGCCTAGCAGGAACCAACACCTTTTCCTTTGCATTGTTTATGCACTATTTGAGAGTAAAGTTAAATTATTCTGAAATGGGGACATATCCTATGTTCCCCTGGAACTCGAAGAAGAACAAAGGTACATCCATTCTAAACATCAGTGTAGTGAATTTGGAAGACAGAATAGTTGCAAAATATTTCAAGATGACCATAAGATGTCACCATAACATAACAATTGAGTGAGGCCACCCAATGCACTTTTAATTGTGTGACAGTTCTTAACTTGCATGTGGTTGTATGTTGGGCGTCAATGTATAGGCTTCATTCATGTGGAAACTTATAGTGATTCCCCAATCTGAGGCTAAGATCCTTAGTACACTTGTTACATTTCATTAATATTTATGAAGCTTGCTCCGTAAAGTGAATGTGTGAGTTTCACAAAAACAAGTGCTATGGGAAAATAATTGCAGTCTTCCCTGACTTCTTGTCCTACCTTCATATGCTTGTATGAAGCAATTTGAAAATTATTCAAACTGATCTAACAGATTTATGCACACTCAAACATTTTAGCTGATTTCCCCCCAGAAAATAATCATTAACTTATATACTTGTAAAATCTGTATGTATGCTTGCTATTCAAAAAGTGGAAATAGAAAGGTTACGGGAAAGTAAAATGTAAGTTTCAAAAAAAAAAAGTAAATCTACTTTAATATGTCTCTTGTTAGCAGCACATCTCTCTAGCTTTGCATATGGTGCTTCCAAATCTAATAGCAATGTTCTTGGTGAGATTTTCTATCCAGTTATGCTGCAAAAGTGCTTTATGACTGCAAGCACTGTGCTATACAAAATATAGTTATTGTTTGAGATGTATGAAGCAGTCTAAAAATAACATTCAATAACTCTTCATGTGCTTTGGTATAATAAAGCCAAAAGGTTGCAAATGCAAATATCCAGAAGATAGTTTTTATCCAGGCCAGAGTGTCACCAGGGGAGGAGTGAAAGGATGGTATGAAAAAATATACAGATGTGTGCTAGATGTCCATAGTACAATATAATAACAAAAGAGACTAGATTACAGCCATAACATCATTTAGTGTCTGGTAATAAAAAACAACCACTTATTCCTGAATAGAAAAAATACAAAGGTCAATAAGATTTCACATGGCAGTCTGCTCCAGACTCTCAGTCTATATCCCTTTAACAGTCTTGTATTCTTAAAAGCAATCTGCTCCAAATTCAATCAATCTGTCTCTCTCTTTCCAACACTTTTTCTAGATATTTAAGTTTTCAGACCTCTGGTCTTTCCTCAGGAACAAATCTTTAATTGTTCTATGGGCATCTAGTGCACACCTGTATATTTTTTCATACCAGACTGCCTTGGGATTTTGTGTTATTCTTATGGATTGAGGAGTGAAAGGA